ATTTAATTATGGAGTGACAAACAAGTTTGAGGACTGCAAAGCAAAGATTATGCAGCCTAGGCTTGGATTTGAATTTTTATTCATCATGAAATGATTTGTAATTTAAGTTTGAAAACCCTAACTTCATCTCTTCGATTCTCCTTGCTAACAAATGATCTAAGGAGTTCTTAGACATTTTGGAAAGCTTGTAATGTTCTCTACAACCCCTCTTTGAATCACTTTTGAAAATTCCCTTTGGAACTATATGAAAAAGTGCCATGAAGTTAGGTCAAAATCCTGACCAAAACTAGGGCAAAATTTCACTAAGTGTTCAATTTCAAGACCATGACTTTATGAATTAATAACTTGAGATCCAAGTATTTTTAGAAGAAGTTGTGTAAATAAATGTTGTAGATATCATGGAGATCTACAACTTTCATGTTGAAAGTTTCTTTTTAATCCTCTTGCATCATGGTGAAAAATTTACTCAAAGTTGTGAAAAAACATGAAGTTTTAAACACTTAGAAAAATTTCTAAGTTAGAAAACTTTGACTTTTCAAAATGAAATCTTGACTTTTTGATTTCTTGATGAATAAGTTTTATATTTTGACATGTTTTTATGAATCGTGATCTTTGACATTGAATTTTGACCAAAAAGTCAAAGTTTTGACTTTTCAGTGTACAATTGACTTTTGATCAGTTGACTGAGAATTCACTATCAATCCAATTGATCTTGAGCAATGTTTTAGGTCATGCCATTAGGTCAAAAAGATGTAATTGAACTCTTGAAACCATGCTTCAAACCAATTTACCATTTGCTAGGTCAAAAATCAGAAATTGCCCTTTCTCAGTCAAAACCCTAATTTTGACCATTTTGCCATTTTGATGATTTGATCAAATTTCTTGAGGAATAATGGTCCAAACTTGATCAAACGATACATATGAGTTTATAATATTGATGTGGATAAAAAATTATGAAGTTTGACTGTAAATTGGCCATAGTTGACTTTTCCCCCAATACAGTTGATTTTTAGGTCAACTGCTCAATTGACTGAGCAAAAGTGTGATCCAAGGCTTGAAACTTGGCATGAGTAATCTTGGGGGTCCATAATGATCCATGAAAGTCATATGAAGCATTGAAAGTTCAATTATCCTTGTGCAATCTCAAACCCTAATTTTGGTCATCAGTGCTTAAGGAGGTGTCTTTAGCTGATCAAACCTAATGCAGTATTGAACCGAAGGAGATCTTGTGAGAGATTACTTGATAAATGAGAGGGCAAATTTTGGGGTACAACACTAACAATTATTTATAAAAATATAAAAACATAACAAAATGAAATTGCAAAAATACCTCAATGAAGCTTGAAAAAAAAAAAAAAAAAAAAAATATATATATATATATTTATATATATATATATATATATATATATATATATATATATATATATATATATATATATATATAATCTAAAAGTATTAACTTATAACCTAATAAATATCAAATTTATAATAATTTCCAAAAAATATTATATATATATATATATATATATATATATATATATATATATATATATATATATATATATATATATATATATATATATATATATATATATATATATAATCTAAAAGTATTAACTTATAACCTAATAAATATCAAATTTATAATAATTTCCAAAAAATATTTTTTATATTTAAAAAATATAAATTAATAACCATTAATTTAATAACAACTAATAACCCAACAATTATATATATAAAAATATAAAAACATAACAAAATGAAATTGCAAAAATACCTCAATGAAGCTTGAACAAAATTTGTTGGGATCTTTGGAAAAAAATTCACCTTCAAACATAAAATTATAATTAAAAAGTTAGTGATTAAGTTAAAAACAAAAATAAAAAAATAATAAGAAAGAGGTGGGATGAAATAAAATAATTATATATTTGATTTGAGAATGAAATGAAATTGGATAGAGGAAGAAGAGAGAATGAAATTGAAGAAATGAAGAAGAATGAGTTTCTAGAAATGAACGAAGTTGGAAATTTATAAATAATGCAGCGACATGATTTTCACGTTGCATCTTAGTGAAATAAAAATCACGTCGTAAACCTCTAACGGTAATAATATTGTGACGTGATTATCATGACACTAATTAAAAGTGTCTGTCAACCTGCACCTTATCACTTTCATATAAGATAACTTTCCCTCTTAAACCGTTGTGACGTGATATAACGCCATACGGAAAATTTTGAAATTTTCAGATTTCTCCCCATCTGAGCGTCTGACCTTTTTAATTTTTTTGGCTTAAATGCACTTTTGGTCTCTCTATTTTCACGTTTTTTGAGTTTTAGTCCCCATTTTAAAAGCTAACTTTTGGTCCCTAAACTTTACCTCACTCGAGATTTTGTTGGTCCCCTATAGTTTTGCACACGTGACACCTTTAATAATGAGATGAAATCACTACAATAACTTTCTACAATGTGTGTTCATCTAATGTGGAGTTACAGTAGCAATGTCATGTTATTAAAAATGGTGTCACGTATATAAAATTAGAGGGAGACCAATGAAATCTTGAGTAAGGTAAAGTTTAGGGACCAAAAAGTTGATTTTTAAAATGGGAAGACTAAAACTTAAAAAACGTGAAAATAGGGAGACCAAAAGTATATTTAAGCCTAGTTTTTTTAATTTTAATTTTGACGTTGTGAGATGATTTCTACGCCACAACTTAAAAAAAACCCGAATCGCCATTTGCTAACATTACATTTATTATTTAAATATTAAAAATATGTAGCGACATGATAAACATGTCGCAACAGCCATTTTTTTGCCATATGTTTATCACGTCACTAAATTACGTCGGAGGAGAGAATTTTTCTTATAGTGAATGGTGTGATTTGTTGTAGAGAGAAATTGTGAAGAGAGAAATAAGTAAGATATAGTATGAGAAGAGAGAAAAAGATAAGAAATAAAGTAGATTTGATGTGTTATTTGATATAAAAGAAAGGAGAGAAAAATAAAACAGAAAGAGATATATGTTATTTTTAAAAAGACACAAATATCTGGTGATTTAATTTATTCTTAACTGCATTTAATTACATTAATTTAATAAACAAATAAATATTAATTAATTAATTTATAAATTACTTTATTTAATTAATTCATTTATAAATTACTTTATTTAATTAATTTTTTAAAATAATTTAATTAATTAATATGAAACAAGTGGTGTTATTTTAAAAATAACAAGAATTGAAAAAAACAAGTTACAAAACGTCCGATTTACAATGTAAAAAATTTGTAATGCATTAACAAAGTGTAGATGGAGATATCTATCTAAAAAAATTAAATATATAAAATTTTGATGCAAAATTAAAGTTTAAATTAAAAAAAGAAAAAATAGGTGATGCCACGACTGCATAGTTTTAAAATCTAAGTTGTTTTCATCGATCAAATCGGTTAGATTGTGAACCGGAGAGTAGAGTAATCCGATAAGATCATTAAATCATAGTTGTAATTGATCTGATAAAAAAAATTGACGTGACTCAGCCGATTCATTGATTAGATCATTGGACCGGTGAATTTTTTGATCTGACAGATTGATCTTTTTATATTTATCTTTTAATTTAATTATAATTTTGATACTTCTATTTTTATTTTTCTTAAGTTTTGATACTCCTGTTTTAAATTCTAATTTAATTAATATTTATAATAATTAAATAATATTAAAATTATAAAAATAAAATTTTATCAAATTTTAAGAATCAGACATATAACCTTTTAAAACTATTAAGATTGTAGTTTTATCAACTGAAACATAAATCTCTTCGATATTTATTATGATAAAAGAAAAAAGAGTTATATATTTTATAATTACAACATTTCTTTCAAATGTAATTTTTATTAAAGTTATTTATTATTAATCATATAATATAATAATATAATAATTTAAAAAAGTTAGAAAATCAATTATGTGATAGAATAATATTATAAATTAAAAAAGTTTTGAAAAAAATTTATATTATCAAATAAAAATAAAATTATATTATACAATATTAAAAGTTATACAATCCAATAAATGAATCACTGATCCCACTAATAAGTCAGTGATTCAATAGCTTATTTAGATGAATAACCAATGTGGATTTTAAAATATTGTTCAATTATATATAAAAGTTTTACACCATCAAATGAATGTCGAACATCCAACCACATTATGCAGATAATTTAAAATAACTTTAATAATTTAATAAATTGATAATTTTCCGTATAAAATTTCTTTAGCACGACAATACATGTTCATTAGACCTTTTAAGAAAAAACTAAAAATTGAAGCACTCTCTCCCCTTTTTCACAATATTGAGGAGAAGATAAATGGTGTGGATCCCACGGCCATTTAATTACTATTTTTATATCAAGGAGGAGAAGTGTTAGTTTTCTTTTATTACTCTCGTGTCTGTCTTTCTCTCGCCTATGGTTCTAGCATTCCAATGACACCCATAGATAAGGTGGTAAACCCATGAAGTTCACGGCATTACCTCTATTATAAATATTTATTTTTACTTTAGAATCAATTGTATAATCACAATCAATTTTATATCCGAACTTCATATTCACTACACTTTCCAATATTTTATCTCACTAGTTGGCGCCTCGTCGTAAAAGGAAGGGTTAGACAGAGTAGACTTTCGGTTTCGTCTGAAAATGATAAAAACCATGTGGTTACCAAGTCACGAGCCAGTCTTCATTCTCATCCTTCTCTTCTTTCTCTTTTTCAAACACCTTAGCAACAGAACAAAACTACACTGAACACTCTTCTCTCTCTCTCTCTCTCTCTCTCTCTCTCTCTCTCTCTCTCTCTCTCTCTCTCTCTCTCTCTCTCTCTCTCTCTCTCTCTCTCTCTCTCTCTCTCTCTCTCTCTCTCTCTCTCTCTCTCTCTCTCTCTCTACATACTACACCTATTGACTCAGTCAATCCTCCGTCCAACTAACACCAACGACCCAAAATGAACGAATGAGATGGAAACTGATTCAAATTCCAAGATTCAATTATTGGTTTGGTTTTCTCAACTCATGGGAGGTCTTTGTTCTAGGTCCGCCGAAGTTGACCGCGTCTTTGCCAGCTCCGATGCCGATTCCGATGCCTCTCATAAACCTAATACTAACAACAACCCCGCTGATTTCACAACGCCGCCTCAAGTGCGTGAGATCATGGAGAGAAACCCTGCCGGAGCAACCGCTGATGACGTTTTCTATGACGGAATCCCACGCTACGCCGCTAAAGTACTTTAACCGTTTCTCTATTATCTGTACAAAACTCAGAATATCAGATCATTAATTGTTGACAGCTTTGAGATTTGTTTTTTTAATTTCTTTTTTAGATTTACAATCTTTTTCAACTGGTATTTGAGTGTTGATGATATTTGAGTTGATATTCTTGTAATTAATTTGGAAGTGGGGGTTTGTATTTGGGAATTAGGGTTTATTTATCACTAATTTGGAGTTTTAAACTTGTGTTGTTTATTGTATTTCTATTTGTGTTTAAAAATGATACTGACATGTTGACAGCGGTAATTATTTTAAAAAAAATTAAACATGATCACAAGTGATGGTGTCAGTTTTGGACATAGACAATGAAAAAGACACACATTTTTTCGGAGGTGTGCTTAAGGCTCAAAATTAGGTTGCTTGTTGCAATAAGGAAGGATATTGTTCTTCTTTAAGTGTTTTGGATTCCAACTTGCTTTGTTTCAGACATATAAGTTATAAACATTTCATGAGATTCATTCATCCCCTTGGTTTAAGATTTTAGGAGAGTTGGTCCTTGGCTTGTTAACAAAGAAAACTTCTATTCTATGGTCCAGTGTTTGGTAGCTATTCTTCTGCTTAGATAAAATGAACGGTAGCACAGTGCATAGTTGGTTTTTGCTTTGTTTGAATAAGCCCTAATGGACTCTTGTGTCAGGAGTCTTGTTTATAAGTATTCATTGACTTCTTCTGTCTAAAACAATCATGTAGGGGGAAAATGAAAATATAATCTACTAAGATCTTTCTATTTCAGGTCTCGGAGGTGAGTTCGCGTTTGGGAAGAGCTGGATTGGGGAAGGCGGTGGAGGTTTTGGACAATCTTGGGAGCAGCATGGCAAATTTAAATGCTGGGAGTGGGTTTGTTTCTGGAGCTGCATTAAAGGGGAGTGAAATTTCCATCTTAGCGTTTGAGGTTGCAAATACTATTGTCAAAGGTTATCAGCTTCTGCATTCTCTTTCCTCAAAAAGTATTAGGCATCTAAATAAAGAGGTGCTTCTTTCAGAGGTTGTGCATGATTTAGTGTCAAAGGATACAGATGAACTTCTTAGGATTGTTGCCGCAGATAAGAGGTAAGTATTTGATTACTTAATTAAATAACTTAAGTATTTTGTTTTGCAACTCCTTAAAAAATACAAGTCAATTGTATATGATTTGGGTTTTGTTGTCAGGCAGGAATTGAAAGTTTTTTCTGACGAGGTGATTCGTTTTGGAAATCGGTCAAAGGATCCTCAGTGGCACAACTTAGACCGTTACTTTGAGAAGTAATGTAAATTGCACTCGCTCAGTCATCTTGCCTTTCATTTGTCTTCAAACCATATTTAGCCTTTCATATATTTATTCTTAGCCATCTTTGTTTCACATTTTAGGATTAGCAGAGAATCAAATGCTCAAAGACTCTCAAGAGACGAGGCAGAATCAATAATGAAACAATTGATGAATTCAGTTCAATTTACAGCTGTGAGTGTATTCCCTTTTGTCACCAAAAAATACTTAGTTTTGTTTAAGGACTGATAGTTACATTTTTGATGTTGGAAAAATATGGCGAGAATTTTCTCTTAAACAAAGGAATCGTTGGTAAAAGTATTTTTAGTTTAAAACTAATTACTAAGCGGTTAAATTAAGTTTATAGATGATTACTTATTATACCCCATTTGGTTCCAAATTTTATAAGAATTCCTGTTTTTGCAATTTTCCTGACAATGTATTATAAGAAATTGATTGATGGTGTTGAATTTGTGATTCCATGTGTTTAAATCAGACTAACTCACATCTATAAATAATAGTAGCATATAGAATAAATATAATAAATTCTAATTGATATAATTTTCTAATTCTAATCCTAATAATAAATATAATAAATATTCGGATTTGATTATTTATTTTTGATTCTAAAAGAAAGATTTCAATCTACTTTATAGTTTTGAACTTGATACATTTTACGTGTATAATGATTTATGCTCGATAAATAAATGAGGAACTTCTGAATTCAACGACTTTAGCTATGTTTTATTAAAAAATGCTTTAGCTCTGTGTTAATTTTGATTTCTGTCATCTAATCAGTAGTCACACTATAGTAAGATTTGTTATCATGTAAACGTGGCTTTGAGTGTACATAGATTTTTTCATAATTACACATGTTTTGATATAAAAGCAATATAATGGTTAGTGTACTTTCTTCTTGGTTGGATTTTATCATCATACATAAAGAATACATATTTTTTGTTATTGAGGGGATGCCTATCATAATTGATTTGGAAATATATTATATTTAGTATTTAAGAATGATATTTTTATTAAATAGCCTCAGGTGTAAAGACGGATCCTATTTATTGCCCCATTTTTAAGTATCTACTCATCTACACTTGATCCTGTTTTGCATATATACTTTATCTTCAAGGCTTTTTATCTGGCTGCAAACCAAATGCTTTATTAAGTTTTAATATAAAGTGGTTTTGCTTCTCCATGTTACGAGGGATTATTTTTTTTTGTATAAACTTTGGAAAATCAATTTTTCTGTGACAACAGGAGTTGTACCACGAACTTCATGCGTTGGATAGATTTGAACAAGATATTGAACATAAGGGCGAAGAGGAAGATCAAAGAGGTAATTATGGAATATCATTAATGGGCCATGTAGAGTTGGAATAATTTTCTGAATATTTTTTCAAAAAAAGTAATTAGAATACGATTACTAAAATGTTCAGAAATACTATGCTATACCTGTTGGGCCTAATTAATTGGTTAAATACAAATTATTACACAATATAAAATTATATTTGCATTACTCTTACTAAAGTTGGTCAATGAATATTTTTCATTTCCACCTTGCAAGTAAGTCGGGTGAATCTTTCTGTTATAAGTCTTTCGTTAACACATCTGATGTTCAGAAGGATTATAGGCTGTAGTTTTCAATCCATATCCAACTTATTTTTGATGTCGGTCTATCTCAATGTGTTTTGTCCTGCCATACTGAACAAGATTAAGAACAATAATGATTTATTGTCGTGCCGACTTATTGTCACAAAAAAACTTCATAGGGCCTTTACACTTTATCTTTGAATATTCTAGCACAATTTTCTTCCACAGCTCACAATTTCCTAGTGCTATAACTCTGAATTTGACTTCAACGCATGATCGGACAACTACATTTTACTTCTTACTCTTTTTAATAACAAGGTTTCCATATAAAAGTGTACAATAATTTGAAGTAAATCTCCTGTCTGTAACTCGCTAACTCGCTGAACCGGCATAATAAACATCAATTTAAACCTTTACAGTTAGGTTTCCACCTCCTTTAAACAATAATAACACTCTCCCTGTTGAGCCCCAATATGATTTTGGGACAAATATTTCAGTGAGTGACTCCAGCAAGCAACTTCAAATTGTATTTTACCATATTGTAAAATTGAATAAACAAATAGGGCACTAATGGTTTATTCTTTATCAATATTGAATAAACAATTAGGGTACTCATGGTTTATTCTTCATTAAAAAAGGAAACAAATCATCTCACACTAGAAATATAAATAAGGTCATATTTCAAACATTAGATTCAATAAGTTCAAATAGTTAAACACTTTTAGTAAGAGTAGTGTCGGATCATCACACTTGTGCCGCCGTTAACACCTTTTCAATGGGACGTGCCTCCTACCCAACACCACGTGGGAAGGACTTTCAATACAAATGAGTCTGTCTTTCACTCGAACCAGCGACTCATGATACCACTGTTGAGTCATCAATTCGAGGGTCAACACGAGAGACCATTTTTTTCGTCGGGGCCTTTCTTTATGAGCAACACATCTTGTGAGAGAGACACAACATACTCACCCAAAACCTTAACCCTCTCTTATTTTGGTGAGTCTTTGGCCTTTATATGAGTGTTTTACCCAATGTGAATGCTTCTCCCTCATAATGACCCATCAGTGGTATTAGAGCTTAGTTCGATTAGTGTTCCTTCTATTGAAAGTCTTCCTGACAATGGTGTTCAGGCGGCGTGTTCCGTTGAGGCCATCCAACAGTGGTGAAGTATGTGGACGAAAAGCTTCCGCTTGAGGGGGAGCATAGTAGATGGACTCAAAACAAGTGAGTTGGAAGTATTGAGAAACAAGTGTGGAGAAGTCCCCCATTGATTAGAAAAGTGGAGACTTGAGCATTTATAAGTGAGAGAAGCCAAACACGCATCACCTTAAGGTTTTGGGTGAGTATGTGGTGTGTCTCTCACAAGGTGTGTTGCTCATAAAAGAAAGCCTCAATGAAAAATGCTCTCTTGTTGACCCCCCAAATTGATGATCCAATAGGAAATACTTAAGTTTCCACTTTTCTAATCAACGTGAGACTTTTTCACATTTTATTTCTCCATATTTTTTAACTCACACTTGCTTTTTCTCACCGTTGACACTTTTTCAAGTGGACATGCCTCCTACCCACCACCATGTGGGGAGGACTTTCGATACAAGTGAGTCGGTTCTTCACTCGAACCAATGGCTCATGATATCACTATTAGGTCATGAGGGGGTTTGTGGATCATCACATTGGGTTTTACATACTCACTTTAAATGAGTTGGACACCATATATTAACCCAAAATCTAAAGGCGTTGGATTTACGGGTCTTCTCACTTATAAAGTGTTTAACATCCGCTTTTCCATCCAATATGAGACTCATACTCACACTTGATATACCAACAATCTCCCCCTCAAGTGTGAGCACTCTTAAGGGTATTCTCTTCCTCAAATGAAAGCTTTTTCATCCACATACTTATACAACCGTTGACAGACACCCTTGTCATGGACACTACAACGGGACACGCCGCCTGACTACCACCATGTCAGGAAGACTTTTGATACAAAAAGTCGGTCTCTTTCTCGAACTGGGCTCTAATACCATTGTTGGGTCATCACACTTTTGTGAACAAGGAGGAGGAAAAGTAACTCGACGGTGTTTAGAAAACTGACACATGTCATTTAAAAGACTCAGCAAATTATTAAAAACAAGAATGAAAACATATACCTAATCAATAATGTTGGAAGTTATTAGAGAGATAAGTACAGAATCAACAGATTATGTGCTATACAACTCAGTATAATATTCATTGTAAATAATAATTAGTAATTAGTTATTAATAATTAGTAATTAGTTGTCTTCTACCATATTTAGAATTAACATTTATAATTAGTATTTAAAGTGATTTGTCCCTTGTATTCTATAAATACCTTTCATGTATTACTTACTATAATGTCAAAGAAATACAAATTGTTTCTTTATGGTATCAGAGCACGCGATTCTAGGGGCTCTGCTTCCGCGCTCAAAACACTAGTTCTTATTACGACTCTTTTTTCTTGGTCAAGGTTCCCTTTCTCTTGGAACCCTAGTGATCTCGACGACTTTGCAACCGTCGTGCACCGCTCAACCGTCGTTGCAGATCCGGACGGTTTCACCTTCATTGTTGTTTTCAGGACAACCTTCATTGCCGTATCTCTGTTTCTTGTTGTTTGCAACCCTTGATTGTTTGGTTGTCATCTTTGTTGGAGTTTCTCATTGGCAGCCCTTCGATCCTCTCCTAACAGTAGATCTCGACTCTCCTGGCTCGAGACAATTTGTTTCTCTTTATGGACTCCTTAAGTAAGTTCTCTAACACTAGTTCTCTGACCATGACGGGTAAGAACTCTAGCTTCTTAGCTTTTAATGCCTCTTGTTCTAAAGATATCTGGATTATTGACTCTGGTGCAACTGATCACAAGACCCCATATATGTCATATCTCTATTCTGATTCACCTTTACCTAATAAACGCCATATTACCGTTGCAAATGGGTCCCAAACCCCGATTGTCGGATCTGGTAACATCTGTTTAACCCCATCTCTCCACCTAAATCATGTGCTTCATGTCCCTAAGCTTTCTAACAATCTTTTGTCCATTCATAAACTCACTAACGACTTGAATTATGCTGTAACCTTTTTTCATTCTCATTGTGTTTTTCAGGACCTTACCACAAGGAAGACGATTGGAATTGCCGAGGAACAAAACAAGTTATATTATCTGCCTCATAAGGAAAGCAAATGTCATCAGGCTGGTTCAAAGTCATGGACAAATACTCAAACATGGCTCCAACACAAGCGTCTTGGACATCTTCCTTTCCGCATGCTCAGGTCTCTATTCCCTCGCCTATTTATCGGAGTGTCTGCTGACTCCTTTTATTGTGATGTGTGCCAGTTTACCAAATCCCATCGAGCAACCTATTCCCCCTAGTGATACTAGGAGTGTCGAACCTTTTGATCTTGTTCATTCTGATGTATGGGGTTTTCATCCATTTCCAATATTTCAGGTGCAAAATGGTATGTTGCTTTTATTGATGACTGTACTCAGGTTACATGGGTTTTTCTTATGAAAGATAAGTCCGAAGTGTATCAATTGTTTGTTAACTTTTTTCAAATGGTTAAAACACAGTTTGGGAAACCTATTAAAAGGTTACGGTCAGACAATGGTAAGGAGTATGTAAACCAAAATTTTCACAATTTTCTCAAAACTAATGGTGTTGTTCATGAGTTGACTTGTGTTGTCACTCCACAACAAAATGAGGTTGCTGAAAGGAAAAATCGTCATCTTCTTGAAATCACCCGAGCATTACGCTTTCAAATGAATGTTCTTAAATTTTATTGGGGGAAGCTGTCTTGACCTCTGCTTATTGAATCAATAGGTTACGTTATAGGGTGTTATTTGGTGTTAGTCTTGTGCAGGTCCGAATTCGATTCTTTCCGTCCGTGCCCATTATGTCTAGTCTTCAGAATCGTGTCTTTGGTTGTTCTGCCTTTGTCCATGTTCATGGTCCTCATCGGGGTAAGTTAGATCCTCGGGCTATTAAATGTACCTTCATAGGATATGCTTCAGATAAGAAGGGGTACAAGTGTTATCATCCTCCTAGTCGTCATGTCTATATATTCATGGATGTTATTTTTCAGAAATCTGAGTCTTTTTATCCCAGTCCTCAGCTTCAGGGGGAGAATAATCAAGTAGCTGAGTCTTCAGAGTTGTCTGTCCTTCCTGTTATTCCTCTAATACCGGACCCAGAGCTGTCTCCTGAGTTGTTTGTTATTCCTCTAATACAAGACCCAAAGTCGTCTCCTGAGTTGTATGTTCTTCCTGTTATTCCTGTAATACAAGAGCCCTTGACGCCTCATGAGGATGGCGGCGATGTACCAATACCGGTGCATAATAATATTGAGAGATACAAGTCATAGTTTCAGCGAAAAATGTGGAAAAGTAAACTCGTTCTGCCCCATCAAGTCCAATCGTCTGAACCTGAGCTAAGTGTTCCTAACCCTGAGCCTAGTAATTCTTGTGTGCCAAACCTTGATGACCTACCTATTGCTTTGAGAAAAAAAAAAGGTCTTGTACCAAATACTCTATATTCCAGTTTGTGTCTACTAAAAAGCTTTCTGTGCAGCATCAAAGTTTTATTTCAGCTATTGACTCTATTAGAGTCCCTGCATCAGTACAAGAAGCATTAAAGGATAAGAATTGGATTCAAGCCATGAATGAAGAGATGCATGCACTAGAGAAAAATGGGACTTGGGAGATTATTGAAAAGCCAAATGACAAGAGGCCAGTAGGCTGCAGGTGGATATATATGGTAAAATACTGATCCGACGGTACACTCGATGGATATAAGGCGAGATTAGTTGCAAAGGGATACACCCAGACCTATGGAATTGATTATGAAGAGACATTTGCTCCAATAGCAAAAATGAACACTGTAAGAATCATTCTTTCTTTGGCAACTCACTTTGATTGGGGGTTGCAACAGTTTGATTGAAAAATGCTTTCTTGCACGGAGATTTGGGGGAAAAGGTGTATATGGAGACCCCACCCGGATATGACCCTACTTCAAGAAGTAATAAGGTTTGCAGGTTAAAGAAGGCCATATATGAGCTCAAGCAATCACCCCAGACTTGGTTTGGGAGGCTCGCTCATGTTATGGTGTCCTTGAATTATAAACAAAGCCAAGGTGATCATACTCTCTTTATAAAGCATGCTCAAAATGGTAAACTCACTCTTTTGTTAGTCTACGTAGACGATATGATCATAACAGGTAATGATGAATTTGAGAAGAAGAACTTGAGGAAGGAGTTGGCAGCTCAGTTCGAAATGAAGGATCTTGAAAAGTTGAAATATTTCCTAGGTATGGAGGTAGCATACTCAAAACAAGGCATCTTCATTTCTCAGAGAAAATATGTCCTTGACCTTCTCAAAGAGACTGGCAAGTTGGATTGTAAACCCTCCAGAGTGCATATAGAGCAAAACCACAAGATTGAGAGCGATGAGGAAAGCCCAAGGGTTGACAAAGCTCAATACTAGAGACTTGGAAAGTTCATTTATCTATCTCACACCAGGCTTGACATAGCTTATCCGGTTAGTGTTGTCAGTCAATTCATGCATGACTCACAGGAGAGGCACTTACATGCAGTGGATAGAATCTTGCAGTATCTAAAGATGAGCCCAGGAAGAGGACTACTGTTCAAGAAAAGTGAGCAGTTGTCTATGGAGGTTTATATTGATGCAGATTATGCAGGGTCGATTGTTGACAGAAGATCTACCACTGGATATTGTATGTTCTTAGGTGGAAATTTAGTGACATGGAGGAGCAAGAAACAAAATGTAATTGCCAGATCAAGTGCAGAGGCAGAGTTTAGAGCTATGGCTCAAGGAGTTTGTGAACTGTTGTGGATGACGATCATTCTAGATGATTTGAAAATAAAGTATGAAGCTCTTATGAGACTTCTCTGCGATAATAAGTCTGACATTAATATTGCTCACAATCTGGTCCAACACGACAGAACAAAGCATATAGAGATAGACCGACACTTCATCAAAGAGAAATTGGGTAGTGATCTTATTTCTACACAGTACGTCCCATCAGGACTTCAGTTAGCTGATGTGCTCACCAAAGGACTTCCCTTGGAGCATTTTCGAGATCTTACTTGCAAACTGGGGATGATAGATATCCATTCCCCAGCTTGAGGGGAAATGTTGGAAGTTATTAGAGAGATAAGTATAGAATCAACAAATTCTGTGTTATACAACTCAGCATAATATTCATTGTAAATAATAATTAGTAATTAGCTATTAATAATTGATTATTAGTTGTCTTCTACCATATTTAGAATTAGCATTTATAATTAGTATTTAAAGTGATTTGTCCCTTGTATTCTATAAATATCTTTCATGTTTTACTTACTACAATATCAAAGAAATACATATTGTTTGTTTCTTTAAATAAAAAATGAGGATGACCAATGCTGAGTCATATTTGTAAGTTAAATAAATGAGACTTTGACTGAGACTGAAGTGTGGAAGACCACACGTCTGACTGGTTTGTTCATTAGGTAAATGTTTCATCCCAACTCCAAACGCCCTCCCCGTTGCAAGATCTCAAAAAGTACAATGAAAATAAAAAGTTACTGTACAATTCTGATTCTAGATGCACAATTCTGATTCCGGATAAACGTATGGATAGAAATTAAGTTATGAGAGTGTGGGAACATGCATCTCGTCTTGCAATTTAAAATGAGGTTGAAGTTTGATATTTTCAGGAACCAACAACACGAGTTCAAGAACCATTGACAACAATAATGTAATGACTATTAGAAGATGAGATATAAGTAGAAAACAATTATGAATGAGAGGTCATGTAATAAGTGGCACCGAAGTCCTGAATCCAAGTATTATGATAGATATGCGAATGTGCACGTGAGGAAGAAAAAAGGTGTAAAGCAGGGAATTAATTGTGATGAGAGAGAAAATAGATCCGAGCAATAAAAGGAGGAGAACATATAAGGAGTGGGTAGATTGGAATTTCGCGGTTACTCGGGAGATCGTATGCTACTTGAAGTGCCTAGCTTTTCTTTAAATTTTTCTGCAACTTCTTTTCATAATTTAGATATTCTAATTTCAACTAGAATCTATGTTATCAAACTCGGCTGTTCCAACTGTTATCTTGGCTTAAACGACTGCGATAATGGAAAAACTCATGAAGTATTCATATTTATTGAATTTTATTGACATTTATTTCTAAATATGAATACTTCATGAATTTTGATTATTTATTTTAATTTTTAACAATTATGTGTTTATTAGTATGTATTAGTATCTGCGTCACTTAATACCATCTGTTCTGCCTAACAATGTTCTGATCCATTTTTGGGCCTAACAATATTCTGATCCATTTTTGGGGATGGCCGCGCCAGTTATAAAAAATTGATCACATAGATTAGAATTAGGTTAGAATTACCTTGGTTGTAATTGACCATTCCATTTATCAATATAGCAGTCTATTTCCACCCATAATCCTATCATATTATGAAGAATATGATAAGTAGCCATGAGACATCGAAAACTTGACTTCTTACCACTCAGTTGCTCGGGAAGGCTAATTAAGAGACTCACCAAGAGCATAAAGAAACTGTAAAAAACTATTCAAATCATGCTTACTAAAAGAAAAGGAGAATCTGCTGCGCCCTGTCTCTGCCATCAAGAAGGGGCCTCCAAAAAATATTGGAAAGTCAAGCAGCGAAGCAAGACCAGAAGCACTAAAATACAACACAAGCAAAACATGATCCAAAAAACTGCAGAATAGTGGCAAAAAACAGATGAAAGGGCTCCAAAATACCCACGAAAAAACATCCCAAAGCCAATATGTGATCTGTCAAACAAGATCAGAAAGGACCTCCTAAGTGATTGGAAAAGCCGCCCTGTAATAAGAGACCGAGATGGCAGCGTGTGGCCTACAAGTGTCAGAACGTGCTGGAGCTTGGGCAGCGCGTTAGGCGTCCGTTCACTGCAAAACTTTAGGGTATGCCCTGTTTTGGAGTTCCAGTTCTGATGCTGTGGGTGGTGATGCGAGATTGGCGACGAAACTAGGCAAAACAGTCACACAACTGTTTAGAGATACAAAAAAACACAAACTGAGAAGAAGGCAGTGACCCAGTGTTAGCAATTCAGTGACATGGTGAGCAAACAATGAAATTGTAAAAAAAAAGGGACTGCAACAGTATAAAAAGGAACCGAAATGAATATGACTAGAGTTATTATGCGGATGCAAGACCTTCAAGACCGAGAGCTCTTGATACCATGTAGAATTTGAATGACTATATGAATATCATTTCAAAATGTAATTGGAATAGAATCACCAAGTGTATGTTTGGTTTAGCTTTTAGAAGAGGCGAAAGCAATTTTAGAGGTGTAAAATTGATTTTGGAATGATTTTGAGGTGTTTGGTTTTTCTAAAGTAGAATTGATTCTGCCTTTGATTTTACTTGAAGCTAGAATTTATAACGTTTGAGTTTAAATGTGATTTTTAGTGTTAACGATACACAAACTAAATTGTTTAAATAGATTATGCTAGCCTATACTTAATAGGCCTACTTAATGAGTCTAATACAATCTATACAAATAGTTACACTATAAAATTATAAAATTATATTTACAAGAGGCATTGAGATAATATGCTACTCTAAACTTTAGCTTGTCACTGACATTTTTTGACCTAAAACCCTGAGATCTTATCGAGTATAATCATAAATGAAGAATAATTTTGATATTGATTTTTTTCTTCCTGAAGTCCAATGATCAATTAGATTGTGATAAATGTGGGGAACCTGCGGACTACATTCACATTGATCGTTTAATTACTTCTAAGATATTGAAAACAATGTATGCTAGTATTAAACAGCTTTGATAACAACTTTGGTCCATTTGAATTAATCGGTATCAAGGTCGGATACTAAGTTTACAGGAAAAAAAACTTCGATATTTTGATACTAGTGCCTTCTCAATTTGTCAACAAGTCTCCTTCATAGTCATTCTTGTTATTCTTGTTTACGTCTAACAGGGCATGTAGATGGATTGTGGTCACCAAAGTATTTTTTTTAAAAACAAAGAATCAGAAAAATGTATTATTGTTGAGAACACAATTCTGAAGAGTTGGATGATTGCTTCCTTTTACATATTTTTGAAGAAAACGTCACAGCTACCCATAAGTTTGACTTTGCAGTATATTGAGCAGTATTTGTTCATGTTACTATAATAATCTCTTATCTCTGATATATAATTTGACCTTCAGTATTGCTCTTCCCTGTTTAGGTGATAACCTTGCATTCTTGAGAGCAGAAATTAAAAGTCAAAAGAAGCAAATTAAACATTTAAAGAAAAAATCACTCTGGTGTAGAAGTTTGGAGGAGGTAACTACAAATTACTTCTTGATTTGTTCATCTCATCTCTCAGTATCCTCCTCCATATTTCTTTAATTCTCTAATAGACTTTTATTGTGTTTGATCCACATGTAAATTGGTTATACTAAAGATAGTATAGGAAATAAATTTTTATTTATAGGGCAGGTTTATCTTGTACATTTCATTCACAAATCAAAAACCGAGAAAAGATGAGTATAACTCAGTCTAATGGATTGCAGGTTATTGAGAAGCTTGTAGACATTGTCCATTTTTTACATTTGGAGATAAGCAATAACTTTGGGAGTGCAGGTCTGTACATACTAAAAGTCATAAAAAATGTTTGCTTCACTTGATTTATGCTGTTCTAGTGTCACTTAATGTTATAACGTTCTTATCCCTGCAATGACTTAATTAACATTTATATTGTGAAAATCTGAGTCATGTTATTCCTTTTGTCCTATTTGATAATCGATAAATTTTAAATTTGGTAGGAATTAAAAGAGTCTACTTTTTGGGAGCTGTTAGCAGCACTACAATTTTTTAATCTCATCAAGTTATTGTTGCTATCACATTGTAATGAAAGATGTATTTTGCTTTGCACTTTTAATGTTGTTTGTCCATGGGTACCTGCAGATAGCCAAAAGCCAATAATAGGAAACATTGGCAATCGTCAAAGATTGGGCCCTGCAGGTCTTGCTTTGCATTATGCAAATATAGTACTTCAAATTGATACCCTTGTAAGTCAACTTATGTAATTGTATCTATTTCATTACATGACTGTTCTTTTTTGCACCTTATCTCTAATCAGGTAAAAATATAATTGAGTTTTTAGAAATGATTCTCTTATTGCTGTTAAGTATTAAATTTCTTCTGTGATACCTGTCTACTTCTATGTTATTTTTCTTCTGTTACTTTCAGATTTCATGTTGTTGAATTAAATCTAAATTCTACTTTTAAATCTTTATTTCTTAAGATGGAAAATCAACCACAAATCTGTTTTGTATTGCCGAGCATTGTACCAAGTCCATGTTAATGCTTTCAGGTAGCCAGGTATATTGCTATGCCTGCAAATACAAGGGACACATTGTATCAAAACTTGCCCCCTAATATAAAATCAGCTTTGCGTTCCAAGTTATCATCCATTCATGTTGTAGAAGAGGTATGATTGACCACTTATACTTTCTATTATTACTGCTTTGTTGAAAAATCAGACAAAAGATTATGGGTTTGGATTTTTTTAGAATAGATATAAAAATGCTTTAGGTTGAAGCACACTTCATCTCTTGTCCATAACACAACTGAAGATGGACTTTAGTTGGTCTGGTAGTCAATGATTCAAATAGTCACCTGATTAACATTATTAATAGCTACCCATCATAACGAATCCTCATTAAATGCCCTTGATTTTGTTTCAGTCAATACTTATTCTCTTGTAGGCCTTTATATTTTGGTAGTAGTTTGTTAAACTTGCAGCAAACATCATAAACAATTAGAATTCTAAGAATTTGCTTGACAAATTTTGAGAAATAGATTTTCTTCAGCCCTTGCACATACTATTGAAGAGAATCTTAAATTTGTTGGTTTTTTCACTCTTTTTTTGTGGTTGCTGTCTGGGTTACACAGATAACTGCAGCGAATATCAAAGACGAGATGGAGAAAACATTACATTGGTTGGTCCCAATTGCCACAAACACATCTAAGTAAGATCTTTGGCCTTTTGTCAACTAACTCCTTACTGGCCACGTGAAAAGAAATCTTTAATTGTCAATTTATTTACCTTACGCATATGATAATCTATTCTTTTTGACTTTTTCTTTTGGTGTTTAAAAATTGGGTCAGAGCACACCATGGTTTTGGCTGGGTGGGGGAGTGGGCTAACACAGGGTAAGTAGCCAGTCCCTACTGTTCTAGTTTGAATTAAAAATTCATGTCTTCCCCCTTTGTGTTTTCTGTACTTTCAATCCTTTCTTATTTTTAATACTTTGTGATCCTTGAAGCTCTGAGGTGGATAAGAAAGTTTTCCAGGGTGGTGCAATGCGAATTGAAACATTCCACTATGCTGATAAAGACAAAGTAGAACATTATATTCTTGAACTTCTCATATGGCTTCACCGCCTGGCCATTAAAGTTAAGTCTGGCAGTGATGCTGGCAAAGCGAGGCCTGCCATGAAATCCTCTGTCGGGGCTACCATGGAAAAGACAAATAAGCATTCTACAAATTTAACAATGGATGAGCAAAACATGCTGCAGAATGTAAGTAAGAAATCCAAAATGAAAGGAATCAGTAAGAGCTTGGACTTTGACAGTCTGAAGCCTACATTGAGTGAGAAGTGCAGACTGACCAAAAGTAGCAGTCTTTCATCAAGTAAAAGCAAGGAATCGTCTTTTAATAGGATTTCGTCAAAGCTTCCCGTGATTGATTTTGATATTGACAAAGAGCGAGCGTTGAACGTGATCGACAGACTAGATGTGGTCAGATAATTGCAAATTTTACTGTCTGGCTTTTGAAATGAATGGAAAGAAGCAATAGTAGACGTGAACATGATTGGGATTTCTGGGGTACACATCAGACTCTTTGCCTGCAAGTGTTGAATTGAATGCCAGTATTTTTGCAGCAACTATGGTACCCTGGATTTTCTTGGCTTCATTAGGGTGCATTGTTTTGGTGAAGTTCCACGATGTAGAGATATACCATTGTCCACGTGGTATTAAAGAAGTTGTTTCATGTTTGCATCAATGTGACTGCAGTGTCCACCTTGTTTGGGCATGGTGGAATTGCAGCTCAGTCTTCAGTGTAAATACTAAAATGAGGAAAGTGTGCCCATCGTTTTGCACCGATTTAAGAAAAGTTCCTGATCCGATAGATTATATATCAATGCTAATGGTAACACATTTCTTTATCACATACTTTTCGCAAAACAATGATATTCATTTTTTTGGGGTAATTTTGCCACAAGCATGTTCGTCCTAAAATATATAAAAGAATCAACTCATGTATCTATTTAAGAATTAGAAATGTGTAATATTGTTATTTGAATCGATTAGATAAATAAAAATAAATTGAAATAAAATTAGTTGGAGCATTGTATAAAATTTTAAAATCAACTTCAGGTTCAACATTTGTTTTGGTTGTACATTGGGTTGGGTATCCTTATAGTACCTAATAAACACCTTTAAAATGCGATCCATGTGTGAGTAATTAACACGTCACCCTTCAATTTTATTTATTTCAGTTTTGTTTTTGATGAGATATAAATAATTTTTGGTAGAAGGGATGAAATTTTTGGTACAAAATAAATTTTGGGTACACTTTATCAATTTCAGCTATTTAAAAAAAAATTGAATTTGAAAATTTCAAAATTTTTGATATTCTATAAAGTCTTAGGGATTTTGAAATTTCCGGTACAAAAGAAAAATGTTTATACTAAAAATTTCAAAATTTCTGATACAAAAATACCAGAATTTTTTTGAAAGTTTCGATACAAAATATCAGATATTTCGCAAATATTTAGGAAATTTCTTACTGTCTCACTAAATTTTCGATATCGTCAGAGATTTGAAAAATTCCGATCGGTCACGAAAATTTCAAATTTTTGAAAAATATTCAGGTCCGAGTAATTTGGTCTTTTCACACCATTTCGAATTTCTTCTCCATGTGTGTACACATCAAATGTTTTTTTTTTGAGGATTTCTTTTTTCACCCTATACTTTTCTAGTGCACCACGCAAAATTTCAAATATGCTCATTAAAACTGGAAATATATTTTCGAAACACAAATAATTGATAAAATATTGGCTTAAATTGGAATTTAACTTCCGGTATGTACCCGAACTTACATTTCTGACATCGTGCTACACAGAAAGCAGAAAAATAGCCTTGAATAATACTAATTTTACAAATTCAAAATTCAAGTCATATCATAATATAGGTAATACATTAAGGATTGAAACATACTTCAAACATTACACTTCAACGTTCAGATGGACGTTGCAACATCTTGATAATATCATCTACCGATCTCGAAACAGTCGCATCTAGTCAATCGAAATTTTTGCTTCAAAACGGGTAAAAGTATGTCACATAGCCCGTATATCAGTGTCATTCTTCAGCTCACGATTGATGAACTCAAGTTTTCCATCTTTGTCAACGGATGACGAGCGATACTCGATCTTCACAACTTTGCGATTGTCGCCATAAGATAGTAGGTCCTGCAATATGTCTTGCAAGATGGGTGTACTCGGTAAACTTAAATTCTCGTGATGGTGTATTACCGATAAAGTTGACATTTCCAACAATGTTATTGATGTTCATTCTGGTTTTTGGTGTTTTGGTACGAAACAATATGCCAAGTGAGGTTATTTATAGTAGTTGAAGGCAAACATGGACCTTACAAATTTTATCCTGTGACAGAGTGTAAACAAGAAATTCATTTCCGATTCCACCTAAATATGTACCGGAAATATATTTCCGGTAAGTTCTTTGGGACTGAAAATCAGAACAGAAACATAAGCATACATATAAACTTAAACAAAAACCTCATGTATTAAAAGATGATATTTTTGGTCAAACTTCAAAATGACTATATTCCACAGCATAATATATTGACAAAATGACATATACAAGAAAATGATACCTAACTACTTAAATGATCCGAAATAATTGTTGTCGATCAAATCCACAGGTGCTACCCCTTTTTACTTTTTCCCTATTTTTTTCTATTTCAATTTTGTTCAACTTGTTGTAGTGTTGCATCCTTTCACTAAATTGGTTCGGTCAGGTCTCAGAAGAGATTGTGTAATAAATCACCCACTTAGGTGATGTAAGTGGTATTGAGCATCCCGATTTAGAATATATTTGAACATAATGTCGTGGATTTGAAACCCATCCAACACAGATGATACGATCATTTGAATTTGGTGATGGAGCAATGCGTAGTGGGAAAAAAGTTTTCGAGAAATCGTATCTTGTAAGATTAATACACACTCTCTCATACGCACTTGCTATGAGATGGCCCATTTAAGAGAAATTCATCCATTTATGCTCTGGTGCATCTCCTCTGCCGCAAGGTACAAGAGTGTTATATATGTCTTCAACTTTCACTTTAGTCCCGAGTACCCGTGTGTAGATTTCTATATTTCCCCTCAACTCTCTGATAATAGTATCTTAGACAATATGGTAATCCTCTTCCCCTTTACCGAGCAAACTCGAAACAACTCGAAAACCACAGTTACTGTCATCCTTGACATTGACGATCCATTCAATGTACTTGTGCATAAAAATTGACATCTCCTCGATGAATGTTTTTGGTGGAGTCGGTGTAGGAGGTGGCTTGCTAATACAGGCTCATTTGAAAACACTTTTATGAGAATTCTGAGTAGGTGAATCAGGAAAAACTTTGTCAACGTGTTCAAAATATGAAAGACTCCTCGTTGTGGAATTTTTGTCTGGTGTTGGTTTCACCTTCTTAGGTTCCCCTTAAGTTTTTACCAATTAAGATGGTGGTTTCAAGTTTGTGGTATCTGGGAATGAAATCTTCCTCAGTTGCTCTTTGATGTGTAGTTTGGTGGACTCATCGGCTTTCAAAAATCTTTCTTGTATCACTTCCCATTCAGTTAAGATAGAGATACTTGATTTATCGTCTTTCATTTTACCGTCATCTTCAAAACCGAGTCTCTGCAAAACTCCCTAAATCTTCAAAAAGACATCAATTAAATAAAACAATTGAGCGTCCATCCCCCCAGTGTTACGTATCAGAGCAATGAAACCCACTCAATAAGAGAAAGCAATCTCTTCTAGACTCCGCGACTTCGTACTACTCCTGGCTATCTGCACGTTACCCACGTGGAGGCAACATTCAAACAGTAAGGATGAAATATCATGACAATATAATAAGTCATATAATCATGAGTAACAACAAGTATATCATGCAAGATTTCGAGTCACACAATTATCAATTATAGTTCATAAGGACATAGATCAAACATACAACTCAACTTCATTATCATCACCCATTATACAACGTGAATCGAACATACAACTCAACTTCATCGAATATCAACAATTCAACAAATACAATGCGACTGACACTGATGCAAGATGTATGTGGTACCATCAGGACATAAGCCCTCAACAAATTGCCATATAGGCCAGGACATAAGTCCTCAACATTTGCCATAAAGGCCAAAGCATAAGCCCTCAATATTTGCCATAAAGGCCAGAGCATAAGTCCTTAACGATGCATGAAATGCGACATGCCACAACAAAAATTATGCAATCACAAGCATAACCATTAACATCATGCCAATTTCAGGCCAACAACAACATCTTCACCATATTGCAATACATTATGCAACACATTCATACATCATTCGTACAACACCATCACGTTTAATCACAATAATATGCATCACACTTCATACAACATTAACACACAAGGCATAAGTCTTCACCAAGGCAATCATCATAAAATAGAAAATATCACATCACATCAACACCAAAATCCTTATGATTAATTTCACGACAACAACAATTCATCATTAAAATAGGACCATCCCAATTAATCTACAATAACTGACACTGACACCCAAGGCATAAGCCTTAAACTCAAAAATAATTCACCTACTGTTATCAAAATTATTATTACATTGTAGAAAATGTTTTTAGATTTTTAACGGTCCAAACGATACGTCAAACGGATACCCGAGGCAAAAGTTATGATTTTTTAAAGTTTCCAAAAATTCTGCCAGCTTCAGCGGTAACCGGTTACCCAGTTACGGTAATCAGTTACTGCAAGGCAGTAACTATTTTCTTAAAAAATTCTTCGCGATAACCGGTTACTCAGTTACGGTAATTGGTTACTGCAAGTCAGTAGCCAAATGTTTCAAAACACAAACAGCGGTAACCGGTTACCCATATATAGTAACCGATTACCCATCGCGAACAGACCCAAAAACGTAAATTTTCTACTACAAAATCCCATCCTCTTCATCCAAAAACCACTTTTTACGAAAGATTAAATATATCAATTATTTTAAATCATCAACACACATCATATACCACAATTCCAACACAATCAACACATCAATCTCATCATTTACAAGCAACTACAACAATCAATTTCACAACAATTTACTCCAAAATGTAACATTCAATATCATCATCTACCCACAATTAAACTACCAATTAGAGAGTCAGAACCCCACCCTTACCTTAGGTTTGATGATTCTAAGCTCTCTACCGGAGATTCCTCGCCCTAGCTTGTATGCTCTTCTCTTTGTTCTTCTCTTCTCACTTCTACGATCTATTCCTCGTGTTATTAATTTCTGTTGTTCTAACTACACACTTTAGACCTCTAAATCTATATACCAACTTCGCCCTCCTCTTATTACTAGGTTTATTTTATTTATTAATTATTAATATTATAAATTATCATTTATCTCTTATAAATATAATAATAATAATAATAATAATAATAATAATAATAATAATAATAATAATAATAATAATAATAATAATAATGTTGCTAATATTCTTCATTCACCCCCACGTCTCTATACTATTAGTCATACACCCTAACTTCTTCAATTATCATTACATCTATTCTTCCAACAATTTCATCAAAAGGCGTCATAAGATCATCAACACATATAAGCCCATCATATCATATATTTTATTCCAATAAAATAATTCTAATTAAAATCGGGGTGTTACACTACCAACACTCATCTAAAAACGTCCCAACTGACAAGATCCTAACCCTAACGGCATGCATTTCTAGGGCAAAAATCGTGAAAATCTGAACTACAAAAGCCAAATGACAACAAAGAATTGAAATCTTACCAATTGGAGAAGAAATAAGGTGGGAAAGAGTGGCGGAGAGCAACAAATCTTCAAGAAGCAACGACGGTCGAACATGCGAGCAGTAACGAGCAGTATGAAAGAAGAATGAAAAGTACAGAATGCCCTACTCCT